GGGTGCTGCAGATGGGGGCCAAAGCCTGCCCAGCAGAGAGGAGACAGAGCTGCCCCAGGGAGGAGGGTGAGGAAGCAGAAGCCACCGCGGCTGGGGAGGGACGATACCACACATCAGGAACCAGCTGTGTCTTGGGGAAAAAGAACCATCCCCTACTGTTGTTTTTTACAGTTTGTGGCCAATTTATATTTCATCAACTCTGGCTGCTGGGGAGCAGGATGGTATCACAGTGAAGATGGACAATTTGGGGATGAACCATTTTTAGCAGTTTATCTCACAGAAATATTTTCTTTTCCACATGCCTGAATTTTTTTCCCGTAAAGACGTTCACGCAGTTCGTTGATCCGCTTGTCCATCATGGCCACCTCCATGTTGCGCTTATTTAAGAGTTCCTTCTGCTGCTGGAGTTTTGAATTCTGTTCCTGGTTCAGCTGGTTACGAATCTGCAAGATAGAAAATATGTTTACGATTTGTACTAATTAAATGGTCAACCTCATCGTGAGGGAGATTAAAAAAAGAAGAAAAAGCAACATCTGGTTCTCACGTGTATTTATATACATTCACTGTCACCTGTGTGCTAAATCTGTGTCACCTGTGTGCTAATATTTGACAGGTACAGCACAGATGAAGCCAGAACATACTTCATATGGAACAAAAAAAGAGCAAATGTCAGCAAATGTGTCTTCTTCAAAATGTATGGAATGACTAGCACCAACGATGAGTGTGGGAGAGGCGTCTGTCCTGCCCCACAGGCCACCGAACGAGGGAGCAGGAAATCCAAAGGTTGGCCAAATCACCAAATAGAACATTCCTGTATCATTTTAATGAGTCATAACCAGCACTTGGACAAAATGAAACAGAGTAGGTTAAGTCTGGTCTCGTGAAAATCTCTCAGATGTGCACACTTACACTAGCACTGACACACCTGCACATGTGTACCAAACAGGAGGGAACATGTACTTTTTAACCTAGGTTGCAGTCAAAAAGTTGGATATACACATAAATAATTACATTCATCACACTTCACCAAAAAAAATCCTTAGAAACCCTGCATTTTTAACAATTGCTTAAAATGTCAAAAGGAATAAAGTCTTCTAACAATTTCCACGCATTTTATATCACAGAATTTAACAGCAACAAGTGAGTTAACTCTCTGTAATTAAAATTCCCATTTCGTAAAATGATATAATATTTTCTCTAACAAGTAATAGAATTGCAAAACTTGTTTCTGGCTTGAAAAATCACCTGCTAAATGACAACTTCTGAGAAATGAAAATCTTGAAGGTTTTAGGACTGTGGCCTCCCCAAATTTTGTATGTCAAAGCCCTAATCCACAGTGTGACAGTATTTGGAGATGGGCCTGCAGGAGGTAATTAGGCCATGATAAGGTCATGAGGGTGGGGCCTTCACGATGGGGTTAGTAGCCTTCTGAGAGGAGGGAGACCAGAGTGTGTGAGGACACAGCAAGGCGGCAGCCGTGTGCCAGCCAGAAGTGGACCCTCACACGAACCAAGTTTGCCATCACCTGGATCTTGGACCACAGCCTCCAGGACTGAGACACAAATGTCTGCTGTCTAAGCCCCCAGTATGGGGTATCCTGTTACAGAGACCCAAGCTACGATGAAGATTTAACAGCAGGCATCTATCTTGTCAAAACACAGTTTACACAGAGGCCTTAAGTATCAGCTAAAGCCAAGTTCTTTACCAGTTCATTATACTGCCAATTAAATTCATACATGCTCAATAAAAGAAGCCAGTCACAAAGAACTACATGACTCTATTCATACGAAATTCCCAGAATAGGCAAATCCCTAGAGACAAAAAGTAGAGACGTGGCTGCTTGGCTCCAGAGGGACGGGGGTTGTGGGCTGATGGCTAAGAGGTGTGGGGTTTCTTTTGAAGGTGAGGTTCTAAAATTGATTGTGGTGCTAGCTATAAAACTCCGTGAAGATACAAAAAACCACTTAATTATGTAACTTAAAAGGTGAATTGTACACTATGTGAATTACATCTCAAAGCTGTTTTAAAAATTCTTTTGTCGGGGGAGGGTGTATCTCGGGTAGAGCGCGTGCTTCGCATGCATGAGGCCCTGGGTTCACTCCCCAGTGCTGCCATTAAAACAAATTATTTTGTACCAAATGCATTTTGTGTCTGTTACTCAATTAGAGTCCAGTCATTTGTTTCCAGTTCCTGGGATTTCCAGCCTATGCTGGAAGAAAGCCCAAACATAGGGATGTCTTAATAGACTTATCCCTCAGCCCCGGGTGAGGTACCTGTAGTTCTTGGTACAGTCGTTTCAACTCCACCGCGGCCGGCCCAGTCAGCTTGCCATTGTAAGACTGGAACCCGTTCAGTTTTCCTTTCTTTAAATCTTCCAGTTGTTGACTGAGCTGATCAACTCTTAAAATCGCAGTCTGCACTTCCTGCTTCTTTTCCTGGAACATGGCACTGAACCGTTCTATTTCTGCAGCTATAATTTCCCACCAATAAAGAAAAAACACTGAAGTTAATATTTTTCACGGTATTTTCCTGTTTTTGTTGTGTATAAGTTCTGTTTCATTTCTACACATTTAACTCTCACATCATCTAGCACCAGACCTTGGGGAGGAAACTGTAATCTGCATGTAATCCAAAGCACATTTCAACACATAATGCGACTGCTCATATGGCCAAGTTATATTTGCATGAATTATTGAATAATTTTAAATTAGGGCAACCAGTCCAAAAGCTACCATGGTCAAGCCACTTAAGAATCTCAGTGCACCAAACAGACCAAGTCCTCCCTGAGGGCAGGCCCATCCAAATCTATCTTGCTTATTGCTGCGCCATAAAGTAGGCACCGACGGAACTGGTGAATAAAGTGACAATTCACGCGCACAAATATAAAAAGTGAGCACGTGTATGGCGTGTCTTCACACACAGATAAAATTTCAGCTGTTCACTTGAAACAGACCCTCATCATGAGTGGAGTCTTAGGAGTGGCCCTGCCCAGATCTGAAGAGCGGCCGCTACCCAGCAGGAGGCCCCCCTCCACTGCAGTGTCCTCAGATCACTGAACCTCGCCGTGCAGGCGCAGATGCAGCAGAGTCCGGGGAGGGCCTGCAGCGGGAGGGCGGGGCACGTACACAGGTTCCCGTTCATCATTTTGCTGTAGTCCACTTGTCCTCTCATGGCTCGGATCTTCTTCAGCTTGTTTTCCTGGGCTTCGACTCGTTCTTTCAACTTCTGAAGCTTTTCATTTTCAGAAACAGATTGCTGCTGACGGCGCTCCTGTTGCTTCAGAAAATGTAAACGCTGTTCCTAGCAAAAGAGGGAAACGGCTAACTTTGAAAACTGAAATGGACGCTGACTTTCATGCACCGAAAAAAGGGTAAGCAGATTCCACAGGTTCACCCATCACAACAAGCACAAGCCCACCTCCAGCCGGCAGCCCAGGTCTCCTGCGGCCAGGGCTGCAAAGCGGCTTCCCAAGGCCCTTATTTAGCCTCCTAAAGGACACGAGCACAGACCACAGGGGATTTCCTACTGGAAGAGATACGTAAGGAGATAAGTAAGGGGATGAACCGCTAATCTGCCAAGTGACACGAAACAGGAAATGTTTGTTTTCTTTAGGATGATTATCTTCACAAGTAATCAAACATTTCAGAGTCAAACAAGAACTGGACAATCCTAAAGTAAAAATATATGCAATACTCAACAGTTTTTTCCCTAACGTGAAAACATGCCTTAAGGGTAACAGTCAATGTTTAAATATTCATGGCCCTATTTGTATGCGTTAAATATACTTAAGGAGAGATTTAAGTGTGATTATGCTGGCTTTACACAATGCGCTCTAAGGGAAGGGAGTATGTGTGGAAATATGTAAAAATTAGCATTAACTTGTGATTTACACTGCTGAAAATATTTAAGATTTTTTTAATAGCAATACTCTTGGGTCAATAGTTGGAAGAAAATAAAAAGTAGAATTAGAAAAGTTTGTAATTACATAATACCATGGACATTTTATCTTAGAAATGCTATTAACGGGATGAAAATACTTTCCAATTTACCTAACTTTTGTTTTTATTCTTGTAAATCCAATAAACTTTGAAAGACAACTTTTAAAAACAAGTCCAACTTAAACTATTATTTACATAAAAGCGAAGAGAATTATACGGTCATTCAATAAATGAAAAAAGTTGAATTGGACATCTAGGTATTAAGAAACTCTCTTTACAGAGAAAGCAGTAAGACCCTAGGCGGTGCTGTTTACAAATTCTCTCTCTCTCTCTCTCTCTCTCTGAGTTTCAGAACATTTACCATAATTACAACATGAATTGTTTCCAACAGGCATGGGTGATAGATCTAATCTTTTAGTCCAAGACTAAACCATTTAGAAAGTTTTAAAACCAAGCAGGATCCCATGGGGCCCTCCCAGATACAAAAGCCTTCCTCTGTCCCTGTGTCTTGCAGGAAAAAAGCTTCAGACTCCTAGACCTTCCCTGAGTCCCAAAAGGTAGGTGCAAACAGTTCCTAACCAGGGAAGTGAGGGGATGCAGAAATAAAGGAGGAGTCAAGAAACAACAGTGCAATAAAACAGGGTCCTGGTTCCAGCCGCAAGGGAGACACATAACAATGTGTCCTCGAGTTCTTCTGCAGGAACTAAGGCCCCTACCTAAGTGGTGGATGGGAAGGACTGGTTAAATCCAAGATTCCTGGACACCACCCGTTACCTCACCACCGACCAATCAGAAAAAAGTCACACACCCTGCAGCCCTCATCCCAAATTTTGCCTATAAAAATGCCTTCCCACTGGGGAGTTTGGATTTTTTGAGCACAAGCTACCTATTCTCCTTGCTTGGCCTGGCAATAAACCTTTCTCTGCTCCAAACTTGGGCATTTACATTTGGGTGTGTTTGGCCTCACTGTGGGTCAGGCACACAAACTTGCATTTGGCAACAGTTTCAAATCCTACCATTACAGAGTTTCAACAACAAATCTAGCACCCAGTGTGTGTAATGAGTGCTGAGGACGCCTGCACCTCAGTAAACCAAACGAGTTCCCTGCAGGTGGGACAAAGGCAAGCCATCTTTGGAGCCCACGACCAGTGTATTGTCACGGGCCACTCGCCTCCTCTGGAACACTAATGCCAACTACACCAGTGGACAACATACCCAGAGGAAAAAGGAGCTTCCTTTCTTTCCAAATTTCACCTATAAGTGGGTAAACTGGGTAAGGCTGATCGTTTCCTGTCCTGGGGGTTCACGTGAGCATGTCAAAGGTCAGATGCACTTGCCTGGGTACTTTCCCACCTCCAAGAAGCTACATACGCATTTACTGTTACAGGAGAGATAATTGAGAAAGACACTATTTAACACTTGGCGGCATGGTCCTACTTACAAGGGTTACCCATGAACGCACTGACCCCCCAGCTAAAATAACGTCAGAAGAACACACTCATTGGACACTTGCCCACCTCTGCCTTTACCACTTACCTTGGCAACCAGCATTTGCTGCTGGTTCTCAATTTGCTGTTGTTGCCTAGCTGCCATGTCCTGGAGTTCTGAGAGGGTGAGTTCAACACGTGGGTTCCCAACCTACAGAGACAGGACACACTCAGGCTGGAATGCACGTTCATTCTGCACAGTCATTCTGCTGTAGTGTCAGAACGCGCGCACATCAAGACTTTAAACAGGCTCCCCAGTAGTTAGGAGAGCACAAACGAGTTTATCTTCTCATAGGAGCTTTCCCCACTTGTTGGCTGTTTCCCAATTGCTGGCTGTTTTTATTAAATTTATTTGAGCAAATAGGGATGTCAAATGTTTAAGGGTACACAACTTAAAAAATAAGTATGCAGGTGGCACCTCAGGACAAATGTCATCTCACCACCACTTGGTCTCAAGAAGCTGAAATATATGAAAGATTCTAAAGTACAAACACCCCATGGAAAACACCACAGGCGTGGCGCACAGCAAAGGCTGACCCACCAGCGGCAGGAAATTATCTACGTGAGATGAGCACAGAAAGGTGGCAGCTTGAGGAGTGGCAGCTGACGGAAGCACGTCCCCATCCTCTTGTTACTGAGAAATAATAACATCAAGCACTGCTGCTGTGTTTGCCATGAGCCTGTCCCTGAAGCGACCACCTCCCATTTATGAACTCCTCTAAGCCTCACGACGACCCAGGCGGGCAGGCATTACTCCACCCCCGCTTCTGCAGACGGGAAAACAAGTGGGGCAGCTCACGTCCTGTGCTGCAGGTCGGGTGCCCCACAAGGACAGAGCAGGACGCGGAGGTCCTGGCCGCCTCACATGGCACCCTCTACCAGGCACACACCTGGGTGTGGGCTGCTACGCTAGGCACGTTAGACGCACTGTACACACAATCCTCGTAACAAATCTGGGTGGCAGGTGGACGAGCCCCACACTGGGCGAGGAATCACGGGAGAAAGGAGAAGGGGCACACCTAAGGGCCGAGAGCTCCTAAGGGGCCGAGCGCCAGTGCCAGGCCAGTCTGCCTTCCTCCAAGCCCTTCTGTGCCCACCAGGGAAAAGCGGAGCCCTCCTCAGACCTCCACCTCCTCCTTCTAGGTTCAGCTGTACTCTGAGGGCCCCTTTACCTTCTGCCACCCTTACACCCTCTTGTAATTCTTAACAGGGGGTCCAACCCCTGTTCTTCCGACTCCAGTCTTCCCCAAATCTTATGGTGCCAAGCACATGCTGGACTCTTGGAAAATGGAATTGGGATGTGTTCATAGTCTTAACTGGAAGCCTGGTCTATTTATCTGAGATCCCTAGATAGCAACATGGAGCAAGCCCCTCTCAATACCAGATGTGAACTGCCAAGTTCTAGACACTTCCATTTGAAAAGAAATTTGTCCATTCTACAAAAATGCCTGGTAGAACTGTCATAATGCCCAAAATATCTGTTTTAACACTAATAAAGGATTCTAATTTCTACCTACTGAGATTTCCTAGTCACCACAAAAAAGGTATTCTTAAAACTTTCAGAACTTTACTCCTTAAACATGTTTTTCACTAGAGAAAAATGATACCCATTCAACAAAACTTTCAATTTACATTAATTTTGTAATTTTACAACTTGAAGAAAAGACAGACAAAAACCTCTCTTTGGTCTCCTCTCCCCTCCAATGGCTTAGAGTAACAATGAAAAGAAATGTAACCGTTTGGTATTCTGATGTTCACACCTATGAGCAAGACAGAACTCTCTGTGCGTGCTGTGTCCTACGTGTTTCTAGCTGTAAAACTAGGATATACTCTGCTGTCGTAAGTCAGGCATTACACCTTATGTGTATACTAACACACTGTAATTTTATAAAATTTTACTGAAGTAGATACCACAAACAGAAAACTGTATAAATCACAGTGCGCAGCTCAGTGAATTATTTCAAAGTGAACACATGTGTAATTTGATTGCATTTTAAATGGGTTACAAAAACATGAGCCACCATAAACCTGTAAATCAACAGATATGCAACATTTTACGCTTTAGTATTTATTCTCTAATTTGTTCAACGTGAAAATTTAGCAAAAAGCACCTCTTCAGAGTTTTTTAAGAAAGCAAAAACCCTCTGATGCAAATTCTACCCTGTTATGACAGGCCTTTCAGAATGCATTCTCTCCACATAAGCCAAACCCCATAGGAGCAATTTAAAATTCTCCATACGAACTCAATTTACTCAGACAAACCTATGACCTAATTCTTCGCTTATTTCTTTTCATTGCATCTAATAAGAAGAAATCAAATCCTGTTCCCTTGGGCCCGTCGAGGTCCCTCATTATGGTAGTTATCCGGTGAGTTCAAGTCCAGGTCACAGATAGGGCCAGCCACTTTCAGGACCAGTAAGATGGGCGCGGAAGTTCTCTCAGGAACAGCCCGGCAGGCTTCCATAAGGGCAGGCCCAGGGAAAGCAAGAGCCCCCCCACCCAAGCCTCCGGCCTGCTGCCACGGCCTTCCTCCCAGCAGGGGCCGCCACCGGCCCTGGGGCTCAGGGCCCCCTCTCCCACCAGCATTCAACCCGGACTCTCCTGTATTCATGTGCCCAGAGAATGCAGTTTGCCCTCAGCCTAACACTGATACCACCCATCTTCCACAACACTGCCCATAGTCCCTTGGTCTAACGACCCCCCACCCG